GCCTTTGAACCGTCTAGGGGCGCTGGGAGCCCGAAGCGCCCAGAACGTCCAAATCCTTCGGCAATCCAAGGAACATCTATAGTGGCCTCTTGGGACACTCGTCGGGGTCCTCTTGGAGTCTTTTTGGGCCGTCTTGGGGGGTTCATGGTCAGTTTGGAAAACTTCTTGTACCGTCTGAAACTCCTGAAGGCCGTCTTCGGGATGGCTCGGGGCCGTCTTGGGCTGCCGGGACGGCTGTCTGATCGCTTCTGGGGCCGATTTGCAGCCCCCCAGCAGCGGGCCCGGCCCCGAAGCGCCCTGAAACGGGTCGCCCCCCCCCACCCCCGGGACTAAAAACGGGACATGGGAAGGGGGGGGGGTTGAAAAAGTGTGCTGCCCAGGGGGCCAGGGGCCCGGCTCCCCGTTATATGATATATTCGCCACACAAGGGCCACACAAGTCGCATGGATGATCGTTATCATGTTGACTTCTCCTACCCTGCGTTAGCTTGTACATCCTGTGGTGGCCTCGTGGGCACTTGTGAGGAGAGAACAGGCCGCGTTGAGCGATGTGCATGCTTGCTCTGCATCGGCCATCTCGTGTGCCTCGTATGCCGTCCGTTCGAATTCGAAAACCCAAGCACGGGCCATACACCCACGCACGTTATTCTGAATGTTGAATGATGCCTCCTGTTGCTGTTCCCCGAACTGCGGCTCAGACGGCTGCCGCACACAAGCCTGCCGAATGTCTACACATGAGATGGATTAAAATCCTAGTTCGACTGGGCACCACTCCCTTGATGGGTCGACTAGAAGTAAGCATATGCACATATATATATATAGGTGTATATAAATGTATGTTTGTATTGCCAAGTCTCGGCTCGGCGCGCCACCGTTGCAGTCCAAGGCAACAAGAAAAACAGTGGGAGGAGAGGAAGGCTCGGGAAGTCACGAGGCCCATCCAACGCATGTCAACCGCGGCCTCTGAAGCTCGCCAGTGTAGGCGCTACCGTGAGAAGTTCCGAAAATCACCACGCACACTGCACGCCCAAGATGGAACGAACCGCCCAGTCGCATCATCAGCTGACCTTGGCGAAAGCCTGGGTTGAAGGCGAAGTGGCATGCGCAACGACGCAGTGCAATGGAGGCGAAACTAGACACACCTGCCAGGGACACCATCCAAACGCAACGCCGAAGGAGGCGGAGGAGCAGCAGCAGCAGGAGAGCAGCAGAACAGAGAAAGCACCGAGACCATGCAACAATCGACGCGCCAGTAAAAGCATGGAAGCCGTGAGATGGCCATTCTGAACGGGAAAGGGAGGAGGAAGGGGAGGGGAAACGTCAGCCAGGTGGGCCAAGTGCCAACACCGCTGGGGATGCCGCTGTTCTGGATGAGAGTGTCCTGGATCACTGCACGAATCGGGGGGAGCAAGGAGGAGACCGGAACAGGAAGCGAAGTGGCGGCCCACCCTGGAAGGGCTAGCCGGAGCTCCGCCTCCAGGAGGCGAGCGCGGGAGGAAAGAGAAGGGAGGAGGGATTGGAATCCAAGGTCGCGGCCAAACTGCTACCTCAAACGCGCTCCGAACCAAGCTGCGCCTCGAGTCGGGATCCCGGCCGCGCACTCCAGGCGGCAACAACGCGGTGTAGTCTGGCCCGACCGCTCCTCCACGAAAGAGGGCACGAATATACAGTTCCACTCCAAAACAGAAGCTTGCTGCAAGCGCCGGCCCTGGCGGACGAGTCCTGCCCACCCCCGAGACACTCGGGCCGGGAGAAAGGAGGGGATAGCAAAGGGGGGGGTTGAGAATCAGCTCACGTAGCTGATTTTCCCGGCGCCTCCTGGCGCTGGGAAAAGGCCATGTATCGAGAAATGGGCCCCTCGGTGGGGCCGAGACACGCTGGCGCAAGCAGAAGGAGCCACTCGTGACAGCTACTGCCCATGCTGAGCAGGGACCGACCGTCCCGGCATTCCTATAGGCCTACCACGAGATTCTCTTAGAACCCCAACATGTTCTAAGGCTGACAAAAACAATGCTCTTAGAACACAAACCTGACGTGTTGAAACACGACAGCCCATGTTCTGAGAACGCTTCGTGCGGACCACAAGAGGCTCTTGGAACACTGTCTGGCAGGCCTGTAGACACGCCAAGACGCTTCGCCACTGCTTGCCCATGCGAACGGTCGAGGAATCCAGCCCGCAACTCGGGGAACTGATGATGGGCATGTTTTCCACCACCACCACCACCACCACCACCACCATGGGTTAGAGGGGGGAAAGAGGAGGAGGACGAGGAGGGAGGGAGGAGGAGGAGGAGGGGGAGGAGGAGGAGGAGGAGGAGGAGGACCCCCTCCCCCTCCAACTGGTGGTGGTGGTGGAAAACAAGCCCATCAACTGAGCCACGGCCCCAACGGTCGGCAGTGGCCCCTGGGCACGGGCAGGACCGACGAGCGACAGCGGGGCGGGAACGTGGGCGTGGCCGTGGCCGTGCAAGTGCCCCCGCACAGCGCAGCAGCGCCGCGCCGGGAGCGAGGAGAGGCGAGGGAGCGGAGGAGCGGAGGAGGAGGAGGAGGAGGAGGAGGAAGAAGAGGAGGGGAGGGGGGGATGAGGGGGAAGCGGAAGAATGAGGCACGCTCGAGGCAACTGCTGTCCCGGCCGCGAAGCCGATGCGCGGGGGGGGGGGGTGGGGGGGGGCAGAAACCGCAATGACACTGGGCCGCGCCGACACGTGGGGGGAGGAGCAAGGAGGGAAGAAGAGGAGAAAAAAGATGGGGAGCCCGAGCGGGCTGTCCTGCGAGCGCGGCCGAAGCATTGTCCTAGCTTCGCCGTCGAGTCCTCGAGCGCTGGTACAAGCTGCTGAGCGGTTCAATGTTGCACGCCTCCCAGAACGCAGCCGCGAAAAAAGAACCGGCATCCGAACTCTTGACGACGCGGTACCGGACTGCGAAATGTGATTTGCACAAAGCGCTAACGCAGCACACGCGAAGCAAATCCAGATCCGCACTGGTGCGTGTATCAGTCGCCAACTCAGAGCCCGTCGAACCAGTGAGACCCAACAAATTAATCAGACAACGTGCCGCCTCAGGGCGAGCACAAGCACATTGCTCCGCGCACCACCTGTTCTAAAAACCACTATGCGTAGTGTCTGATGCAGTCGCTGCCCGACGCAGGGCCCCCGTTGTTGGAAACGCCTGGCCGTGAGCCAACCATTGAAAGAAGTGCGAAGGCAGCGGCCAGCACGCGTGGGGGAGCGGCCTTGCCCAGCTCCCGCATGCGAGCCAGGAAGCGTCTTACGCGGATCCCGCTGGGCATCTTAACGGGCCAGAGGTCCAGCATCCAGCGGATCAGCGCGTCGGCCGGGGCCCATGGGCGCGCGCGCGCGCGTGGGCTGCCAAGACGACATGACCCTGAGGTTGTACGGCATCGAAGCCGCGCGGGGTGGGAGGAAACCCACGACGACTCTCTGCATCGCGGACGTTTTCCACCGCTGCCGCTGGCAGCTCCTTTCTCGTCGATGAGCATGAGTTCCCAGAGGCGTCGCGCTCGTCCCAGCACCTGCAGACCACCCTGTTGAATGTCCTCGAAGTGTGCGACCCTGGCCTGTGCGGCAGTCGCGGCGCAGCGGACGTCCATCAGCTCGCACGGGAAGCCGATGCTCCTCAACGCAGTCGCGAATGAGCGGCATCCCCGCACTGTCCGAGGTCGTTCTGTCTGGTTTTGAGCTGATGGGCCTCATTGGAGTGCACGCCACCGTTCTGAGTGATGGGGTCAACGAAGCGCGACATCTGGGCAAGCATGGAGGCCCGTGCGGCCGCCATGGATTTTCTGTACATCTGGTCCATGACCGGCATCGTGGAGGCCATGCGGGAGTGGACCAGCCCCAGGAGCTGCTGCTGGAAGGCAGCCGCAGGGTCTGAGGAGCCGGAAGTGGCTGCGGACGTGGAGTCAGCCCCGACGGGCGCCGCCGTACCACCGACCTGGTTGGGGAACGTGGGAGCCGCTTCCGTTCGAGTCATTGGGAAATCGACTACAGAATTGACTTACCCCAGATTTGATGTTGTTCGTGGATTCTTCGGAACATGCATCCAATGTGTTCGTAGATCTGCGAGCACCATATGCGCTTCTCCCAGATCCGACGAGAAAAGTTGCTGGGGGGGCAAAAATCAATTCTGTAGCCGATTCCCTACGCGATCCATGAGAGCAACGTCCTGCGTCGACAGAGGGCCACCAGTCGCGTCTGCCGAGGGACCAGAAAGAGAGAGAGAGAGAGAGCGCCGGAAAACGTCCTGGAGGGACGGCCACATGAGAGCCCAGCGGGGGCACCGGAGCGCCAGAAGGCTCACTCGTTGTAGTTGCCAGAGTGGAGGAAGCGACGCAGATAGTCCAAGAAGCCTTCTTCACGAGTCTTCCACCATGGTATGTTCTGGGCCAACACCCGCCATGTGGAATCGTTGCCAAGGGACCAAGAGCCTGTAGAACGTTGGAGCCGCCGCCGTCGCCATCGAGCGGGCCGCGTCCTGGGGCCTCCAGGGCGGGCGGCCCACTGCGGGGGGGGAGGAGCCAGTCTCCGTCAGCAGCGGGTCGGGCACGCTCGCGTCGGCAGTCCTCCCGCTCCTCGTTCCTCCTCCTCCTCCTCCTCCTCCTCCTCCTCCTCCTCCTCCTCCTCCTCCTCTCCTCCTCCTCCTCCTGCTCCTCCTCCTCCTCTCCTCCCTCCCCCTCCTCCTCCTCCTCCTGCTCATCCTCCTCCTCCTCCTCCTCCTCCTCCTCCTCCTCCTCCTCCTCCTCCTCCTCCCCCTCCTCCTAGGCTCTGGGCAGCTTTGCCAGGAAGGCGCTTCCCAATTCCCGTCTGGGTCCGCCTGCGTGGCGACGAGGCGGGGCGTTCGCCCGCCCTTTTGGCACCATTCATCGTTCCATATTAGTTGATAGCTGCCCAGAGCTAGCGCGCTGGTCCGTGACTACGGCTGGCCGCGGCTGGTGCGACTGCGAAGAAGTTTCGCCGAGAACCAGCTTGGCATCAACGACAG